GGGGGGTGTCTCTGTCTTAATGAGAGTACGGTACCTCATTGGTCATTAGGATGACTTCTGGTCACATGGCCACAGAGTAGGATTATGGGTATTTAATGACAAGTTGGAACCATGAGTGAAAAGTACCTGTCATGAATACCTGTGGCATTCACTCTGTCTTCATCACATTACTGCTCTGAAGAGAGGTGAGTCTTGGGTAGCTCTATGAGTGTCCAGGTGTGTTAGATGTAATTTGATAGTCTGTTAAAATAAAATATTAAAATAAAAATACATAAATTTGCTGCTTGTACACAGGAGTATATTGTTGCTGTTATGGAGCACAGTGTCTGTAACATAAGTCAGTGTTGTCCCACACTCCTTTTGCACATTTGTGTACAAACATAGTATTTAAATTACTATTGTTGGCAGCAGCAGTACTAGTAGTAATAGTAGTATGTGTTTTAAAATCAAATGATTACGCTTGTGTTTATGTGAATATGTTGTATTTTTGCTCAGTTCTAACATACTGCTAGAATTATATAGTGGCCCATGTGTAGTTTGCTGAAAACTGTTAAATGTTTTTAACCAGTCTCTGTTGTACTAACATCCATATTCAGTGGTGGTGGTGTTTGCATGTGGTAAATGTGTATACCATTATTAATGAATGCAGTCACAGCAGAGCTTATAACAAATGTACTCATAAGAACTTTATTGATCCTGAAGGAAATTATTGGGCACTATTTATTTTCTATTAAACACAGCTGGCAATCGGACATTCTCAAATGAAGCACCATATTGTCTTTGTAAGAATATCGCAGGCAAAGTCCAGTGGTATCCAGTAAAGAACTCCTGGAGTGCAACTCCTTGAAACTATTTGGGAGCTCAGGATTGTAAGAAAATGGGTGAAGTTTCAGTTAACACTGAATTCTGAGTTGTTGGGATCAAGCAACCAGCAAGCTGTGCATTTTGCGTGATCAATTTTTAAAAATCACAGCCTGTTTTGTGTGCACTGTTTGCAAAACTGTATTGTAGGCCGTGCACACTTGCATCATGCCTGCCCTCAGCCCTCTGTACACACCTTTGCCAGCTGTCCCCACATTTAATCCAAACCTTGTTAAAAAACAATTAACTCAGTTTACCCATCCTTGGTTAAAATGATTTGTTTTGGCAATAAAATACCTCCATTTTCCAGGCGTACTGTTAAAGAGAAAAGTAACAAATGTGGTTCTAGAGGGACATTTTTGTTTTGTTTGTCTCTAACATGGGTTTGGACTGCACTAAGACATTACAAGTTAGTTCTGCCTGCTACATGTTGGAGCCTGGGGAGGGATAAAAACATTCAATGGTGTCATGCCCCACAGTTTAAGAACTAATTACTTTAAGATTGGTGGATTTGGACCAGTTTTTAAATAGTATTTATCATCAGTGTTGTTTTTTTTATACTTTGACGTGTCAGAGGAGAGAGAGCTTCTTCAGGTCTCTGCAGCGTTCTTGCAACAGGCTGAAGTAAAGATGCCCGTGATGAATCTATTTTAAGAGAAAATTTGTTGCACAACCATTTTGAACTGTTTGAAGTCAAGTGACCAAATTGCAACCCTCTTAATCCCAGACGAGAACATTGAGAACCCTCTTGAACATTGTGGAGACTTCCTCATGACTGCTGTTTGCCAACTAGCTGCCATCAGTCGCAGCCCCGTGAGACACGAGCTGAAAGGATCCTTCTGCTTTAGTCAATTTGTTGTGTAGTCACTTTGCAGTCTTCTTTGAACTCACTGGGATTACACGAGCATCGGGGCTACCAGCTCCCACTATTCACAATATTGTCAGTTTAGTTAAAACATTTACAATAGTATAAATGTATGAAGGGATACTTGTTCAACAAATTATTCTCGTAACAATTGGTACACGCCCAAGTTTCCTGTACTAATAGATTTAGGTAAATCCCTTTTTAAAATACAACAAAGAAAATAAGCACAGGTGCATAATAAAAAATAAAAATAGAAAATGAAAAATGTCGATGTTTTTGTCAATCATTTCCATAGTGAAACTCAAGATTCATTAGAGTGAAACGTTTGAAGCCTTTATTTCTTGTAATTTTAATGATTATATCTTACAAATAATGAACAAACAAAATTCAGTGTATCATAAAATGAGAATATCATGAAGAGGTTCAATATTGTAAACTCATGGTGTCTCACCCTGATCAGCTGATTCACTCCAGACATGAGCTACAAATGTCGTCGTACGATTGTTCAGTTGCTTGAAGTCCAGAGTGAAGTTTCCACAGTGAGTGATGGTGTGGGTCCATGTCCTCTACTGGTTCTGGTCCACTGTTGACATCCACATGAACACAGCATCTAGCAGGACAGTTTAGAGACTTCATGCTTCCTTCTGCTGACGAGCTTCATGGAGATGCTGGTTTCATCCTCCAGCAGGACTCGGCACCGGCCCACGCTGACAAAGCTACCAACAGCTGTGGAATATTCTCATCTTCTGAGACACTGAGTTTAGTTTTTTCATTGTTTGTGAACCATAATCATCAAAATCACCAGAAATAAAGGTTTGAAATATTTCACTCTGTGTAATCTATGTACCACGAGTTTCACTTTCTGAAATGATGGATAAAAGAAATGACACTTTTTCATGACATTCTACTTTTTTTTTTTTTTTTTTTTTTTAGATGCACCTGTAAGCTATAAAAATGTTTGTTGACGAACCCCACCTGTCTGCATTAACCAGTACATTCATCCCAGTCCTAAATGAAATGTGTGTTGTCTTTCCTCTACAACAGACTTCCATGTCATTGTCGTCAGATCAGCCTCCCCCTTCCACAGCTCTCCCTCCCGCCTCTCAGACGCAGGTCTTCCAGCCTGTTTCCAAAGTTCCTCACAGCAGTGGCATCAATGTCAATGCAGCTCCATTCCAGTCAATGCAAACAGTAAGACTGTGATGATACTTCCTGTTTCTGAAATAAACTCCAAACAAGTTTCATGTTGCAAAATGATGTGTTTTATAATGAAACCGTTTAAAATGTAAACACAAACTTGTGATGATCTCATCCATGTGGCTGCACTGGTCTACATGATTTTTTTCCATTACCTGCTGAGGCCTACATGGGCTCAAACTGTCTGCACTACAAGCTAGTAGATTAGCTCGTAAACTCACGTGGATGCTTGTCTCATGCATCATATGTTCTGTGTAATGTTTTTGTCATCCATATTCCTGTTTCTGAAACGTCACCGTTTTGACACTTTTCTGTATTTTATCATTTGCAACAATGGAAGGGTGATTGTTCCTCCCTGGCTTTAGATGGACTTTCTGAAGCTGTTTTTGTCCATCCTTGAGTGTGACTAAAGCTTAGATTTATTTGAGACTCGTGTTATTTCTATCCTGGAGGAGCAGCTGTTGCTGGCTTCATGTTCTCTAATAACATTTTTAAATTGGAGCAGCTTCATGCAGAAAATGGAGGGTCAAAGGCTTCACAGCTAATGAGAAGGGGAGCGTTCCTCTGGTTTTTGGCTTCTCTACAATGTGACCTTTTTGTTTTTCAGGTGTTCAACCTTAATGCTCCAGTCCCACCGGCCAGTGAGACGGAGGCCTTAAATCAGGTCGGCCAGTACCAGAACAGCTACAATCAGGCCTTCAGCAGCCAGTCACAGCATTCTGTAGAGCAGACGAAGATGCAGCCAGAACAGCTACAGTCTGGTGGGCTGATTTTCACAATTCCTCCAATTATTTCAATACTACTAATATATTTTACTGCTGAAAACGTATGGCTCACATCTGTTTTTGGGGTATGATCCCCATTCTTGTTCAGTAGTCGGTGCCTTCCAGGAGCAGTCTGGAGGCCATCAGCAGCCTACTCAGCAGGGCCCAGGTTTTGGCAGGCAGGCCCAGTCCTTTTATAACAGCAGAGGCATGTCTCGCGGCGGAGCCCGAAACACCCGGGGCATGATGAACGGCTACAGAGGCTCCACCAATGGATTCAGAGGTGAGCCCACACCACACATTACTGGTACATAGGGCTCTTTCAGATGTGCAAATGTGACATCTTTCACTGAAAGCTGTGAACTTTACGATTCTGGTTCAATTAAAATGGGACATTAGCTGGTTGCAGAAAGATTTATGCGTTTGGTTTTATTTAATTTGTACGTAGAATGCATGAATCGGTGCAGTGCACGTCACATTTAATACTAAGCTAAAGGGTTCTGTCTAAAAAAGTTAAATCTGGTCCTCTGGACATTCAAAAAAAAACCAAAACAAAGCAAAACAACAAAAAATGTAGAAACGTTTCGTCTCTCGTCCGAGAGACTTCTTCAGTCTGAGGTGCTGTTTTCAGCTCAGTCTCTTAAATAGCACCTTCTCAGAGTGGATCAACCAGTTTTGCTGCTGACAACCAAAACCAGCTGATCACATGCTCAAGAAGGACCATCAGCCTAACAATGGGTCATTAGCACACTGATGGCTGTTTACTACTTACAGAGGGCTGAGTGATACTAGCAATCACAGCATTGTAAGAGGGGGA